TCTGCGGTAAAGCAGGGTACTTGAAGGAAAAGGTTGCCGGAGTGTTTAAATTTAGCAATTTATTGTAACTAGTCTGTAACTTTTCAATATACTATTTTTATTTTTGTTATTTGAATTTATTCTCATTTCAGTACGTCACACAATATTGGTTCTTCCATGAAGTGAATTACGCCTGCTTTCCTCGTCATGCAACCGTTTTGTATAAGTCTTAACAGTAAGACAGCACTACCTGTGAATGACAGAATGGGGCAAGTCATAGGGATTTTAAGAACATTGACTAGCATGTCACATTAAAAAGAATTTTTCTTTCAACGTACCGGAGTAATGAAACTTATTGAAAATACCAAGAATGTGTTGATTTTCTAAAGTCAATGCTTTGGTGCGTTGATTCCACCAACACAGTATTTAAAAAAAATACGGAAATTAGTTTGTCTTCTCCAGAGAGCACTTCTTTATCTGCTTTAAAGCTTATCCCCAAAACACGCGTATGAGATATTTTTTTCTAGAATTCACTTACAATGGTCTGGAAGTATGCGGGAGAAAATAGCCATTTTCTCACCAGCAGACCGAGTCGCGTTATATCATATTTCAAGTGTCCCGAATGGTAGTTAGATGAGGTCTAGTCGTGAGAACGGTCGGACACACGGACACTGGAATCGGATTGCTCTACGCAGGATGAATCTTTTTTGATGTGGCGATTTTCGTTGAAGATTTGATGTGGGGATTTTTCGCACATTTCTGTCTACCCCGTTTCTAAGTCTCGAGTGTTGCTGGCAGGTAGGACACGTCCTCCCGATATTTTTTAAGAACATCCAATAGTTTTATTTTACTTGTGTTTTTTATTTTTAATGTAAACGACATAATAACTAGTTTAAATTTACTCATTAGTGTGTTTCGAAGGAGACATGTGATGAGCTGCCAATACGAGCGGAGGATTAGCTCCCTTCGAAATTCGACTTATGAAACAGAATGACAAACAAACGATTGAATTATGTTCTCACCTGCCACACACATTTCCTCCAGGTATTTCTCAATCTACACAATTAAGCTGGAAGATTTAACAACTAGTGACCGTCAGAAAGTCAAATCAACGTTATAAAATTGGTTGTACGTAATAGGGGGTAAGATTATTCAGTATTGTTTATGGAAAGATAATTACAGTGACTATGTTTTAGTGTTGAACAGTTTTCTAAGTTTTTTAATTTCATGAGTAACTGCAAAAGAACTTGTGATTTTTAGATCTACTGTGTAGACCTTGTTAACTTAATAAATCACAAATGTGACGTTTACTACAATCCGTACTATAACTTTTGGTGCCTCGCGCAAAACAGAAAGGCCCTTGCCAACAGGTCTTTGCGCAAAGGACGGAATACAGAGGGTAGCTCCTCTTCGGTTGCCCGGCGAGCAGGTCTTGAAAAAATCTCTGATGTAAAGAAAGTCTCCCTCGGATAAAATGGAACAGGTAAAAAGAGTATGTGTCCCGACCACGCGTGTGATTGTAATGAAGGAGAGTTGTGTTCATCGCCGAGTTATACGAAAAAAGCTTTCTTAGACGTGAGATCAGTTTTTCCTTCCTTTTTCAACAAAACTCTCCAGAAGGCTTCAAGATTCCCATTATCCTTCAGTTCAAATTTACAATGCTATATTGTAGTTCCGAATTAAAAGAAACCGAGAACATGTTGGTTGGTAACAGAGCCCTAAACAAGTAAATTGATTGAATAATTCTTTTGTATCCGGGGCGTCAACTTCTATGGCCTTTAGCCCTGTATTCATCGTGCACACTATAGCGGTGTTTCTCCTCCATAGGAACGCGAGATGTGGCGCCGACCCACACATCGGCTTGCGGGATTTCCTCCTCCAGGTATTGCCGCCAGCGGGGCACCGCTCCAGCCACGACAATCTCTAAGATCCCCGACATGTGGGGTAGTATGTGTGTGTGTGTGTGTGTGTGTGTGAGTGTGTGTGCCTGCATGAGTAAAGAGAGAGGAGAGGATCGCGCTTTCGTGACGCGTTTGAAAGGGTACTGCGTGGACATTCGCATGGATTTGATCGGAAAAAACACAGAAATCTACTGATTAGGGACGTCACTGGAATGGCAGCAATCGTTGCCCTGAGCCAACTCAGCCCTTTCAAAGGGTAAATGACTTGGGTTGGAATAAGGCCCTGATAATAAATTACGAATGAGGGCCTGCATCTCCGGTCCCCTTGTGACTCATTACAGTGAGTGCCCTCAGGGCCGACTTGGCAGCCCCCGCGCCGCCCCCGTGCCGCCGCCGCGCCCCGCCGCTCCGCTCCGCTCCGCCGCTCAATGCCGGTCGCCCGCGGAGCAGGGTGGGGGTGGGGGGACGGCCTCGCCGCGGGCAGGAGAGACCGGGCCGTCTGCGGAGGCTGCGCCGCAGTGACGTCACCGCGACCTCGCGAGATTCAGCAGCGCCGGCCGGAGAGAAAGAGAGGGAAACAGCGCCCGCGTCCCGCCGATCTAGACGGTAGATCACGTTCGCGAACTCGGAACGTGCGGGCCGCTCAGAAACCGGTTCCCGGAATACGGAAGCATGAGTACTTCACTACTACACCAGAATACACTTTTATAGAGACAATATTTCCATGCTTCTATTGACATAAAATGCGACTGTTACCCTTCTGGCACTAGGGTCACGCACACCACGTATTACAGTACACAACATAAGGATGCTTGAGACTAGGTAATCAATTGAGACTAGGTAATAAATAGACTAGGTAGCAGCACATACTTTGTTACGTCGTTTCTAACTTTTGCAATTTTCGAAAATTGAGACAGTTAAACGAAAATGACGCCAGATTTACGCGTTCATTTCTCTATCCGAGGAAAACCTTTATTCGACAAATTATGGAGCCATTTTTGAGACAGTTTTTAAAATGTTGTTAAGCCTTCATATAAGGTATCACCAAAATTCAAAGTAACAGTTTCAAATTCGCAGGGTCTGAGTTTCGGCAGACCGTTCAGGTAAAACCAATTCTGGGGAATGTTGTCAGAACAGCTTAGGCGCTAGCGTTAATAACAGACAGACGCCATTTGAATTCGTTACATTGTATTGTATTTTTAGAATAGGGGATATTTTTCAAGAATTAGAAATATTAATAATTAATGAATTACAATACAGATATTTTATATTCATTTGGATTTGCATAATTGAATATTTAAACAATCACCATTAATTGTTAACGTTCTTGCAATCCTAGCCATTGCTACGAAATTTTTATAGTCTTCTGATTTCTGTACATTAACAATATTCAATATTTTATAAATATGGAGTGCGCATGTGTGTTTAAAAATATAACGTTCGTAATAAGATTCGTAACACTGCTTATCCAAAAATGTACATCTTGATTCGACACTGGCAATGAATGAGATAACGCAGTATACGTCGTGCACAAAAAGGGGAGCACGTAATGCCAATGTATAAAAAAATATCAGAAAATATCAGACATCTCAAAAATTGACATTGTCCAGAATTTTTTTAAAATTATTAGAGCAGATCATTTCGGAATCATAAGCTTCAAATGTTTTACACTGCATGCATCTGTCTTGACAACTAAAGATAGATATGAAAAGTTGACTAGTAACTAGTTTTCTAAAAATGTTGACTAGACTAGTTTTATAAAAAAAGTTTAACTAAAGAAGACTGTATTTAAAATGTATCATTTTTCTTGTTCACTGCAATATGTGACATTTTTACTAGTAGGGCAAACACGTCCGGGTAAACCGAGTGTCCTTGACCACAGCCTCGCGAATAAAAATAGTCACGAACTGAACGCGTATGCGGATAGATTTATCTTCTGTGACAGTTTTGTTCAAGCTGTAAAGGCGAAATTTGTTCCGTTGTACTCTGAATGTAAACAATAATAAAGTTGTTTTACAAAGATTAAAATCTGTAAGTCACTAATTTTTTTAGTAGAAAAGAGCGAAATGACTATCACGTCGCGGTGGCTCCCCATATCATTCGGTGCTTGCACTACCAGCAAAAGAAGGCAACATTCGCCGACCCCTCGGCTACTAGGCATTGGGTAAGCAGTCGGTACTCGCCGAACGCGTGGAGCCGACGTCATTGTTTAAAGCGGTCAAGTTGGCTCAAAACCACCATTACAGCTATTTTGCAGAAACTCTGACCAAGAGGTCCTAGGGTTTGAGTCTCGACGGTGGCGGGGCTAAATAGCTAGGTCGAATTCACCCGCTATCGGGAGAAGAATTCTAGTGACCGCCTGCTCTGATCGGTATGCTCAAAACCAGGCGAATGCCAAAGCAGTGCCGAAGATAACTAAAGAGGGAAATCCCTCGCAAGCCAGAGTGCAATATGGCGCCGGATCTCATCAATCCAGAGAGGAGCATGTCCATTTTGCATGACATAACCTATACTACATTAACGGGACTAATAGATATAGCAGTAGCTTAGAAACATCAATCATTTTTAATCAACTCATGTATTAACAGTATAAGTACATCAGGCTGGTCACTGCCATCAGTTTCCAAGACCAAGGAGTATACAGCAGGGTATATACACCTGCGATGAGAAAGAGCTCCTGATTGGAGGATGCGAACGGTCAAAGGCTCTCTGCTTTATTTCCTTAGCAAATGGCTGTGTCACATCTCACCGAGTAAATGAACTGGGAACAATGCAGTCCCGTAAAATGTGCAACCACAAATTGTAAAGACATTAGTAGACATTGCAACTCAACCTACCTGGATGGCCGCGTCAGCCGACTCAGCGCCTCAATCTGAAGGGTTGCGGGTCGAGTCCCACCGTGGGCTTGGTTGTTTATCCCTTGACCCCCATGTACGTGTGTTGTCGCGAAAGGTGAGTCAACTGTCAGAGACTGAGAAGCCCGCAAACGTGTCTAGTGTATGGGTTAATAGGTGGCCCCATGAGGGACATATTGGGTAACTGTCGCGGATAGTCGAAATCGATATACCCTGAAGCTGGTAAACCCCCCAGGAAGAAAAAAAAGTAGACGTTGCAACTCACCTCTGGTGTGCAGTTCGGGTCAGCGCCGGCGTTCCAGAGCAGCAGCGAGACGCGGTCGGGGCGCGCGCGCACGCGTGCGGCCACGGCGCCGAT